AGAGTTTTCTCTTTCCTTTTCCCTTTTGTACTTTCCAGTTTCTTTCATACCACTATGTTGAAACAAAACAGCCATCTTTAAGTAGAAATAATTTGTAAGATAGATTATCAAAGATCAAACATTAGACAAAGCTGGAGGTTTTCCTTGATCCTTTCATCATCCTATTTCACCTCTTTATGTATATTCACTCATTCATTCATTCATTCAACAAATATTTGAGGACCACCTGTGTGTCTGGTACTGCTTTAGATTCCAGGGAATCTAAAAATAAGGAGTTATGGATAATACACAGTAATTGCTCTATGAAGCTTGTTTTTATTTTAAGAAGATACACAATAAATATGACAGGGAATGAATGAATAAACAGAAATAAAGTTGTGCAAAGTGAAAGGAGTTCTGGAAGTGGGTGTGTGGGACATTGCTATTTTATCTTTAGTGAGGCAGGAATCTCAGATAAGATAGCAGTTTAAATAAGACCTAAAAGAAGTGAGGCAAAACAGGCAAGTGGAAACTGGATATTTAAGCAAAAGAAACTGCTTTGAAACAGAAGCTATGGGAACATGTAAGGAGAGCAAAGATGCTGGTGGGGCTGGTGTGGAATGAGAAGGGGAAAGAACTGAGGCAATGGAGACAAACTGGCTATTAAAGCAGTGGTTTACTCTTACTTTAGATGGATACCTCTGGTTTCTATGCTGAGAAAATATAGGTGGAAAAGAGTCCATTGAAGTAATCAAGGTTAGTGAAGATATCCTGGAGTAGTTTGGTATCACTGGAGATATGTTTTACATATAGAAATGGCAGGATTTCCTGAAGGATTGAATGGGCAGTAAGTGTGAAAGAAAGTTTGAGCAATTGTGTAGTGGTATTACCATATGCTGAAGAGAAATGAAAAAAAAAACAGATGAAAAAAAGTTCTAGGGTTGGGAGATGTGGCTTGGTCACAGAATACATGCCTAAAAGTACTAAATCCTGACATGTTAAATTTGCAATATTCTGTGGAAATTCAGATGGTGGTGTTGATGCTGTATATGATTCTGTTTAATATAAGATTTAGAATTGATAGTGATAGAACTTAAAGTCATGAGACCAGATAAAATTATCTATGGAATCATGATAACAGGATACAATGATACAAATAAGGAGAGGACCTGAAGAATAGCTCAGTGCCACCGTATGTGACGAGCATCTTGGTGACTCTCTTGTCTGTGATACTCAATGCTGCAAGTCGTTTCTAGACACACCGAAGGCAAGTGTGTGTTAGCACTGAAACAAAGGGGTGCGATCTCCCCTAGAAGTACCACAACTAAAAAGACAATGCAGGTGCTGTGCTCAGGAAGCACATCCTTGAGTGAGCATTACAGAGCACCACAACTCAAGGAAAGAGGAGGGAAGAGGAGAGTAAAAAATAAGGAGAAATTTAATGAATTGTTGTAAGCACTTTACACAATAATTTCACTTGATCCTCATACTTCTGTACAAATGAAGGCGCTATTTTATTATTCTCTTTATAATTAAGGAAAATGAATCCTGGAAAAATTAAGTGATGTTTTTGGTTTAGTTTTGTTTTTTGGGGGGTGGGGGGGCATCACTCCTGGCTCTGTGCTTGGGGACCATATGGTGTCTGGAACCTGTATTCTCTTGCATGCAAAGCATGTGCTCCAACATGTGTTGAGCTATCTGTCTGACCCTAAGTCACTTTCCTTTGGTCAAACAGAAGATGTTGAGATTAAAACAAGTGCAGAGAGAAGTGAATTATTGAACATTAGGACACCACAGTATTTAGAGTTTGGGGTGATTAAAAGAAGAACAAAGAAAGAAGACTTAAATGGAAGTTCTGATGAAGTCAGAGCAGAAGTGGATTGAATGACATTTACCTGTCTTTTGTTTTCTTTTTTGGGTCACACCAAGCGATGTTCAGGGGTTACTCCTGGCTCTGCTCTCAGGAATTACTTCTGGCGGTGCTTGGGGATATGGGATGCGGGGATCGAACCCGGTCAGCTGCATGAAAGGCAAACGCCCTACCCGCCATACCTGTTTTTTTTTTTTAAATATTTTTCTCTTTAAGAAAAAAAATTTTTCTCTCATTTTTTTGGGGGTGGTCATACCCATCAGTGCTCAGGGGCCACACCTGGTTCTGTGCTTAGAGTCCATCCCACTGGTCCTGGAGGACCATGTACAGTGATAAGATTTGAACCAGGGTCACATTGACAGTCAAATTCTAGGCAAGTGTCTTCACCTTTGTACTATCTCTATGGCCTGAGGCTGGCCTATCTTAAATTATACTGATGTTAACAAAAAACTGACAGTCGAACTGATTATATTGCTGCTAACAACTGCATAACATTCTTAACATAGAAATTTAATGTTTTTAGTTATATTAATTTCTATATTTATAAAGGACAAAGTACATGAAAACATCAAAATAATAAGCCAATTGAAGACTTGTTTACTGATATTTAGAAAAATATAAAGAATAATTTAACAGGCAATCTGCCTCTATTTTATAACTTCTTATGTCTGAATCAGTGATTACTCTGCTTATAATTGACATTATTTCTGATCATCCCATTCATATAATTATTAAGTGATTAGACTACATAATAAGTTATGAACAACTTTCACTTATACATAAGGATGATAAAAATCAAATGGATATTATTGTCTTTGTTAAAGATTTTACATATAACAATGAATGGAAAACTGTTAAAAACTGAAATTTCAGACCTATTGCAAGTGCTGAAGTGCCATATTAACATATTTACCAAAAACCCTTAATAAAATAAATAGCATTTTATTAAATAAGCATGTAATAGGGAATATTTGAGATGTAAATGTCAAATATGAGAAAGGATGTCTACTATAGATATTTTCTATGGAACGCTAAATTTTATAGCTTAGTTTCCACATTTCACCCATAATACTTAGTTACACATTTACCAGGGTGACTCAGTAAGTTAAGTATCTTGTGACAAGGATGAACAATTCCTCTAACATGATGTTTCAAATTTTAGATTACGCATGGTCATTTTATTTTTGTATGAGTACTATATCTTTTTAACCTCCTTGCTATTCTAGTTACACTCCATATGCAGAGGTTACCAGAATTTTCATATTAGGGTGGGGGCAGAGTAGTTAACTCCTTTATATTACAGGTGGAAAAAAACGTTGGTCCAGGAAACTTGTCATTCAACCAAATCACAGAGATACAGAACAAAACTCAAATCACCTTGCTTCCAGTTTTTACTTTTCTAGCTACTCTCTATATTTTGCTTATTTGGGGTTTCTCATAATGGTTCCATTAACCACGAAATTCATTTTTTTTTAAACCTACACAGGATCTACCACTTTTTAAAATAAAAATATCTAGTGCAAGAGTGATAGTACAGCAGGCAGGGATTTACCTTGCAGAGGACCTACTTGGATTCAATCCCTGGTATCCCATGGGGATACCCTCTGCCAGAAATGATCCTTGAATTCAGAAAGGAATAAGTCCTGAGTACTGCTGCATGTGGCCCAAAAAAACCAAACAAATCTTTTGTTGGTTTTTTTAGGTTACACATAGCAGTGTTCAGAAGTACTTCTGGTTCAGTTCTTAGGGGTCATTTCCAGGGGTATTTGGAATAGGACCAGGAATCCTCTATGCAAAACATGTACACAACCCACTGAGTTATCTCCCATCTCTCAGGACCCAAAAAAATGTCTTTAGGAGATAAGACTAATGTTTGTATACGCTTTACAGAAGAATTCCCACTATTTCAAGATAAGTAGCTTCTATCTCATACTGATAAGATCATCTTTTTATTAGGGCAGGATTATGGGAATACTGAGGAGTTCATGTTACTGGGGAAGTAAGACTAGGTAACTGGAGGTTTCATTTGGGTGGGGTGATTTGCAGAACTGCTTGGGGCTTATTAATTGGAAGGCATGAGTAAAGAGAAACTAAAGGTTATTTCTTTGAACAGCTTAATCAGGGCTCACCAATGCAGGTGATTTTTGTCTCCCAGGGGTTCGTTGGCAACATCTACATCTTGTCTCAAACTAGGGTAATGGTTCTGTTGTGGATGAAGACCACAGATACAGCTAAATACAGCTAAATTCCCATTTAGCATATTTTAATTTTAAAAGAAGGTATATCCTGTAGCAGGTTTTTAAGAAATGTATTCCTTGGTGAATGGAATCATTCTAAAAACTCCCAAATCACTGACCTCACATGCAAAAAAACAGACAATAGCTAGAGTATTAACTCTTAAATGCCCACAAGAACTATCTAGCTCCAATATTCGAATCATGAAAGTATTGAAACCCTTGGCTATAGAACAAAAAATTCTATTAAAAAACCCTAGAGGAAGCTTTTTTAATTAGTTGTAAAAGCGTTTACAATTTGTTTTTTAAGTTTTTCCAATTACTTATTTAAGCATTAATGAACCCAGGACATAGGATTTCTTTCCTTTTGTATATAGTTAAGTTTTTAGGTAATTTTGGAAGTATTAAGATTTTAGTTCAATCCCTGAAATTCACAAATCCTCTTGGCATCTTTGTGGAGGAATACGGATCAAAAAAAGTTTAGTTGAATAGAATTGGAGCTGGTTGTTCAAAGTACTCAGTCCATTTTGACAAATGCGGTGATAGAAGAATTTCCTGGTTCTTGATCTTATTATCGACCACTTGAATCAACTTTTGGACGAAGTACTGATCAGATTTGAAGATAATTAAAAGAAAAAAATATCCAGGAAGAGGTCCAAAAGTATTTTTGACACCTTGGAAAACAGTTTATACATCACTCAGAGTCCCACAGTTTCTGGGACGGAAGGTGAAAAAATAGTGGGAAGCAACGAGAAAGCCATCACACTGGCATATCAGATCACTTTGAGGAGTGGCTATGTGCAGTGTGCATTTGGGAGGAATCAGATTTTCTGCAGGAGTGGACAGCAGTAGGTGAAAAGAGCCAAGCTATCGAAAGTATTAGCTCACTTCCTACTGCGACTCACGTTTTCCCTGAGTCCTCGGAGCCCAAAGTGGATGGCTAGAGCTTGTGAAACTGTCGCAGTTCGCAATTTATACTTCGAGAGCGAGTGCGCGCGACCGGCCGCAGGGAGAGTCGCAGAGTTAACCAATGAGAGGACACTCTTCCAGCGCCGGCTCGGGATTGGTCAAGTCCCTCCAGCTGCTCCTCCTGGCATTGGGCGGGGCGCGTCGGAGGAGGACAGGGATAGGCGCACACGCAGTGCCAGAGCCTCGGGGGCGCGTGCGCGGTCTCGCGGCGGCCGCGGGGGCCGGTCTCGCGCGGTCTCGAGGTGGAGTCGTTGGCGGCCGCGGCGACGGCGGCGACTGGCGGTGGGGCGGGGGCGGGGACTCAGGAGAGTGAGGTGGGGAATCGGGAGTTTCTGGATTCTTTATCCGGTCTTTTAAGTGCCGCCGGGGAGCTGTCGTTCCCGCGACGTTTCGGGTCGGCTACGGCGGGGACGATCGGCGACCGCTGTGGCGCGAAGGTAAGGAGAGGTGGACGGTGGGCTGCTGAGCTGTGGCGAGCTTAATCAACAGGTCCTCAGCAGCGCCGTTGTGAGGGGGGAAGGGGGTGGCCGGGCTCGCCCCCTCCCCCACACGGCGTCCGGGGGGCCCCGGAGCTGCTCCTCAGGCGGCCGCGAGCTGCGGCACCCGGCGGACGGCCGCCGCGGACGTGAGCCCAACCTTTGTCCCTTTCGGAGGCGCCCTGCCGGGCGTCGCGCGTTTCCTCAGCCCGGGCGCGGGACGCACCTTGGCGAGGGCGCCGGTCCTCTCCCGCCCGAGTGGCCGGGGACGCCGAGGGGCAGGCGCTGGGGGGCCGCCCCGGACGCCGGTCGGAGCCGGGTCAGGCAGGGACCCGGTCGGCTTGGGGCGCGGGGCACAACTTTCCTTTCGGAGACGGAATGTTGTCAGCTCGCCTGCTGCCTGACTCAGCGCCCGGTTATTCGGTGCTCCTTGCATTCTTTAAACAAATAAACACACGGTTCCTGCTTCCTTGTGACCACTTTGAAAGAAAAGCGTCATCTTTGTTGGTGGCTCTGAGGGTTGCCGATTTCAAGGTGAATTTTCTGTGAATTGCGGGTGTGTGTGTGTGTGTGTGTGTGTGTGTGTGTGTGTGTGTGTGTTGGATGAAAGGCAACCTTTTAACAGTCCCTGGTGTTGCCTATTGCACGGTGAATTTTCTGTGAATTGCGGGGTGTGTGTGTGTGTGTGTGTGTGTATTGCGGGGTGTGTGTGTGTGTGTGTGTATTTGATGAAAGGCAACCTTTTAACAGTCCCTGGTGAAAATTATGTAACGTAACTAGGAACAACTCGCTTTCGATGGAGCTGATTGACAGGTACAGTAAGGTGCCGGAATTTAGGTTTCGGTCGAAAGGTTTTTCTTGGCAGTTGGAGCTAAGACTCTTGATAGCTTGTTGGATTTTAGACCTAGCGTAGTCTGTGTGTTTTGTCTGCATACTCTTAGCGTCCAGTAATTTAGATTTAGAATCTGTGAGGAACAAGGCTTCGAAATTTTAATTTTCTCAACCAAGTTGAAAAACCAAGGAAGGCTTTAATATTGCTGATTTTTTTTTAAAAGTACTGTGCTCTAATGTTAGTATCCTAATTGTACTTTGGATTATACCAGAAGTTAATAACCTATTAAATTCTGCAAATCATATGTTCGTTATTGGTGTCTTTGAAGTATAAGTATTGTGATGAAATTGCTAAATAAGCCTTTTCGGACTATGAACTACTGGTACTTTACTAGGTCCTGTGTACATGACGAACTATAGAGTTTAAAAGGCTTTTCATTATAACTGACTGTTAAATTATTTTTATAGGTGGGACTGGCAAAAATAGAGAAAGCAGTTCATTGTTTGATCTTTATTAAAAATTGAAGTAAATATTACTACATACTTGAATGGCTTTTGATTAGAAAAACCTGAATTCGCTAAGTAAAAATGACTCAATGTTAACTTTTTCTTTTCCTTTTTGGATCACACCCCACGATGCACAGGGGTTACTCCTGGCTCATGCACTCAGGAATTACTCCTGGCAGTGCTTGGGGGACCATATGGGATGCTGGGAATTGAACCCGGGTTGACCGGGTGCAAGGCAAATGCCCTACTCGCTGTGCTCCAGCCCCCAATGTTAACTTTTTTTGAAAGACTATTAAAATGGAAGAGGATATATGTTTTACATGAAAGAGACTTAGTCAATTTAGTGACTTTAGCTCTTTATATTTTTTTCTAAATTATGATCTTCATTAAAGAACTTACAGACATTTCTGATCAATAAGGTGTTCTTTTTTATTTAGAAGATTCTGATTTCAGAGTTTCTGTAGCACTGTCCTCCTGTTGTTCATCCATTTGCTCTAGTGGGCACCAGTAACATCTCCATTGTGAGACTTGTTACTGTTTTTGGCATATCGCCAATACGGCTCGGGGAGCTTGCAGGCTCTGTCGTGCGGGCAGGATACTCTCGATAACTTGCCGGGCTCTTGGAGAGGGACGGAGGAATCCAACCCGGGTCAGCCGGGTGCAAGGCAAATGCCCTACCCGCTCCAGCCCTTCAGAGTTTCTAAGGAAAAAAAAACTAGTTTCTCAACTTATGTGCTTTATGATATAATTTTTGATTGTGTACTTACTGAATCATAAAATGGGTGTATTGGAAATAATAATAGTAGTTATATAGGCTATATTTATTTTCCTGGAAAAGAAGTTGAGGTTTATAGGTAGGTACACAGTAATTTGAGTGCTAGTTAGTGTCAGAGTTCGAATTGAATGTTAAAAATGCTTGTCCCCAAATTGCAAGTATATTGTTCTTTTTCACTGTATTTTGTTATAAAAAAAAGAGATACTATCATAAATATTTATAGAAGGGGGAAGAGAGAGAGAGAGGGACCTTATGGGTTGTTTACAGCTTTTCAATATTGTAAACAATGTTTAAGGAGTATTCTTGTGCATCTGAAGTTCACTTTATTGACTAAAAGTTAAACAGTTTGCTTCTTTCCCTGAGTATGAGGTTTTTTTTTTTTTTTTTCGCTTTTTTGGGTCACACCTGGCGATGCACAGGGGTTACTCCTGGCTCTGCACTCAGGAGTTACTCCTGGTGGTGCTCAGGGGACCATATGGGATGCTAGGAATCGAACCCGGGTCGGCCACGTGCAAGGCAAACGCCCTACCCGCTGTGCTATCTCTCCAGCCTCTTGATTTTTTTTTTAAACTTCTGTTAATCTGATTGCGGGTGTGTGTGGGGGGGTGATGTATTTATTTCTTTTATTTAAAAAAGATTTCAATTTCAATTTACACCAAACATAATTGACCCTTTATTTTGTTTGGACTAATATATAAAGGTATGTAACTTAGCAAGATAAAATTTCTATTACCGTAACCAAATCAAATTCTTTGTACTACCCTTCTGTAGTCAACCCTTCCCCTACTCTTAATCCTTCACAACCACTGATTTGTAGTTTGTCTTTTCTAAAATGCCATATAAATGGATTTATTTAATATTTAGTCCTTTGAGTCTAATTATCCCTTAGCATGACACATTTGAGATTCTCATGTTTACTGAGTGCTCTTCCACGTTGTTGACAGTATTAGTACTTTCTTCTGGTTTTATTATTATTATTACTGTATTTTGGTTCCACACCCTGCACTGCTGGGGCTACACCCATCTCGGTGCCGTGGTAGTTGATTGTTGAGGAACATGTAGTACTGGAAGTCCAAATGGGACTCCCAAATGCAAAACATGCACTCCAGCCTCTTGAACTGTCTCCTGGGCCCAGTTTCTTCTGTATTAATGCTATATGTAGTATTCCATTATTTGGATGCTTGTTCATTTACCAGTTAAAGGACATTTGTGGGAAGTAGGCTTTGAATAAAGCTGCTGTAAATCTTTGCCAACAGGGTTTGGAGTGGGAAAGGATGAGAATGATGGGGGGAGGGGATCACACCAGGCATGCTCTGGGATCAGGGGATCATTCTTTGCACATTGCAAGGACACTCACTGTAAGTATTAAAGAAACCATATGTAGTGACAGGGATCAAACCAGGGTTGACAGCAGGCATGGCTGTGGCTCGCATCTCCCAACCGATTTTTGTATGAATATTCATTTGTTTTGGTTTTGATGATGGTTTTGGTGATGTTTTGGTTTTGTATTGATGACCATATTCATCAATACTCAGAGTTTACTCCTGGCTTAGGGATCACTCCTGACAGTGTTTGAGACAAGTGCCTTATCCCAGTACTAACTCTCCAGTTCTGTGAGCATTCTTTTTATTTTTTTTGCATAAACATCTGTAAGCAGAATTGTATGTTTATTGTACATTAATTGTCCATGTACATTTAACTTTATTATAAAAGAAAAGTGTCTGCTAAGCAGAATAATGACCCATAAAAATGCTCTAATCTTTAGAAACTGGAATACAAAGGTGAATTAAAATTGTGTCTAGGATTAGGATTGCTTATCAACTGACTTTAATAGGGAAGATTTTACAGGATTTTAATGTGTCATTAGATCCTTAAAAAGGAAAGTGAGACAGTAGTCTAGGGGAAAAAAAGATGTAAGGGAAAGGCCAAAGAGAGAGCTCAACAGGAATGTGGGCGGCCTATGGCCCCCTACCTATCAGGAGCTAGCCCCAAGCACAGAGTTGATTAAGGAGCCGGGAGTTGCAGGTGGGGCCCCCAAACCATCAGAAGTAACAGAGCAAACAGAACCAGAGAGCAGCAGAATTGCTGGGTTTGATAGAGAAGTGATACTACCAGGTAAAGAATGTTGTGGCCTTCAGAAGCTGAAGGATTATGAAGTGGATTAGTAAACTTCAGAGCCCCCAGAAAACCATTTCAGCCAATGCCTTGATTTAGCTTAAGTATTCTTGTGTCAGACTGTAATGTAATAAATGTGTACTGTTTTAAGTATTGTTGCAGCAAATTGTTGCACGGGGAAATGCAAGAAGATTAATATACTATAAAACTATTTTCAAAAGGGGTTGAACCTCACTTTGCATTCTCACCAGCAGTACTTTCATTATTTTATACCAAGCCTCAACACTTGATATAGTCAATCTTCTAAATTTTTGTCATTCTATTATGCAATGATAGTGTGTGATTGTGGTTTTTATTTACATTTTTTTCTGTTTAATGCTGTTGAGAAGCTTTACATGTGCTTGCACCATCTGAATATATTCTTTGGTGAATTGTCCAAATAATTTGCCCGTTTCAAAATAGCTTTCTTGTTTTGAGAGCTTTAGGGAGTAATGCGTCAATGGAGCGATAGGACAGCGGGTAGGGCGTCTGCCTTGCACGCAGCCAACATGACCGACCCGAGTTCGATTCCTCCGCCCCTCTCGGAGAGCCCGGCAAGCTACCGAGAGTATTCGATATGCCAGACACAGTAACAACAAAGTCTCCAATGGAGACATTACTGGGTATGCTTGAGCAAATCGATGATCAACGGGAGGGCCTTTACTTTACTTTACTTTTAGGGAGTAATGCTATTTCAAACAAAATTTATTTTGGACTATTTCTTCCTTGGCTCATATAC